GAGGGAGGGAGGAGAGAGAGTGGAGGGGCATGTGACAACACGAAAGGCACCTGGTCCACTACCAGGGAGAGTGTGGACTAATTAGAAGCCCAAACTTTACCTGCATGCAGCCTACTTATGTAGTTAATCCTCACTTGTACCCCACAACTCCATAATAAATAAATTAAATGAAAATGAAAAAAATAGCCTAATTAGGAAGAACTTGTATTGGTCCCTTTTCACAGATAAGGAAACTGAGGATTAGAATAGTTTAATAACTTACCCAGGGGCACACAGCTAGTCAGTAGTCAAATCACTATTTGAACCTAGGTCCTCAAACTCAAAACAGTGCTCTTTCTAGTAAGTTAGTAATATCATGGCCAGTTTAACCTGCTGCCTAAGCAAAGTGTGTCATGACTCCCACACCCAGCAACCTACTATGTGCCTGTCACTATGAGGGAAAAACTTCTCACATCTCCCAACCTGGGCATATTACTGTGGTTTTACTGTACACATTTGAGTGTCCTGGCAGTCATGAAGGTTGTTGGAGTGAGATACTTAGGAGACAACATGGACCACCCCTGAAGAATCAACACACTGAAAGAAAGCAGAAACCAAAGAATGCTAAGGTGGGAGCCGCTGAGAACCACACTTCATAGAGGCCTATTGCAGAACCCGATGCAGCTTAGCCAGAGGAGCACATGCAGGTTTGGAACCTGCCACTTATTAGCCAGGTGACCTTGAAAAAATGGATTCTCTTCCCCACAGGGCCCTAGTTTATTCCCTTGAGAAATGGGAATGACATGGTAAGGTCAAGAGGCTGTTCTGAGGATTTAATTAGCTGGCATAAAACACATACTTACATTGTGGTGTAGCTTGCACAATATCTGGAGTTGGTAATAATTTTGTACAAATATCTGAGTACAGACCGAAGATGACTCTGGGCCTGGAGGGAAAGGTACATAGTGGCTGGCACCCCAGAAAGTAAAGGCCTTGAGATGAGCAAGGTTCCATTTCCCTTCTTTTCATGAATAGCCACAAGTTGCCTCCCTCAGAAGAAACAAGAATACTGACCTTTCCTCTTGACTCCCTGGTGACATATCTCAAAATAACCTGCTTTTTCCCTTCAAGAATGGAAGTGAACAAAACAGTGGGCAAGTGCTGGCCTCCTCATCGACAGGAGCTAAAGGGACAGCGACCCCTGGTATAATGCCTACCCCATAGAACATTCTGCAGAACAAGAATCCTTAGAATGAGCAAAGGCAGAGGAACTTCCTTCTTTTTATTTCACAAAAGATAATAAGGAGTAGGCTATCACTCATGTGGACCAAACAAAACAACTTAATTGAGCACTTAATATGTGCTAGGCTATGTGTGCAAGAGCTTTGCAAGTATTATATTATACAATCCCTGCATCTAGCCTGGTTAGAAATTTTACAAATGGGAAATCTTTTATAACTTGCCCAGAATTACAGAAGCACTAAGTGGCAGAATCTGGACCCAAACTGAAGCCTCATCTGGCTCAGAGCTCACAGGCAGGAAAAACTAAAGGTCAAAATGCTAGATTGGCCTCCAGGTGCTATCTCCTTCTCCTTGTCTGTGACCTCATGTAGCTTTGGAGGAAATGAAGAAAGGCGACAGTCCTTTCATAAGTTGGGTTTCAAGAGTAGAGCTGAGAGCTGGGTAATGCATATATACCTGGGATTAGGGATAAAGGAATGAGGCTTAGAATATGGAGGCCAGAGTATGCCAGAAAGCTGTGAGAAGCAGAAAGCCTCCTGGTTGAGGTGTCATTTTTGGCTCCAATTCTTTCATTACAAACCCAGCTTTTTGACCTTTCCATAAAATTCATACTTGTGAATTGAGGGTGGTGGGGAAATAGGAAAGAGACTGAATGGTCACTGAGATGCCTTCTAGCTCAGAGTATTTGCTGCACGCTAGAGAAGATCTGCAAGATCAAATAACTCCCCAAACAGATGTCAAAGGCACTGTGTTCTTAGGAATCTTAGAAAATAACACACTTGATTTTAACAGCCATAAGAATACACTTGACTTTGCCAGAGGGGGAAAAAAAAACCAGCTACAAGAGTAATCCATGCGTGTAATGTTCTCATCCTCTATGTCCTATGTAACTATGAATTAATTCTCAGAAGGACACAATGAGAGACTACAATAGCAACACCAAAAGAACAAGCCTGTTTAAAATACAAGGCTACTTCTTTACATAAAGGCTCCCACTAAAATTCCTTTGGATCAACACCATACTCATACATAGGCACTTTGGATTGGAAGGAAATTCGAAGTTCAGTTAGTTTGACTCTCTATCAGATGCCTAATTCCCTTCCACAATGTTTCTGAGCATGAGTACCTAGGAGATGCCTAAATACCCTTAGAACAACAAGCTTGATACCACTCAAAGCAGCCTATTTCATTTAAGGAGCTCTGATCCTTTCAAAAGTCTTTCTAAACTGTGCCAAAATCTGTCGACAACTTTGATTCTTCCCCTGCACCTTGTGGCTGTACAAACTCCTCTACAACAGCTCTTCAAAAATGTGGTCCCTGAATCTTCTCTTCTGCAGAGCTGTCAATCACTCTGTACTTATAAAAACTATCTGACCACTGAGGCGTTATTGTTTTTGTTGTCATTCTTGTTTTTTTTTAAGACAGATTTACTTGAGCCACAATTATTCTGAGATGATTACTCCTCCAAATAATCCAAACTGCATATTTTTCAACCTATATTATCAGCAACACTGAAAGCTGATTATAATCAACTTGCTTTCATAGAAAGAAGGAATACATCAAAAAATAGACTATAAGAGAAACCACTTGGCTAAAAGTATCACCAGCAAGCATTCTATGTTCTCAGTCAACAGATTAACCAGGAAGAGCTGTGAATGTACATTTCTCCATCACTGCCCATCCTCCCCTAGAATTTAAATGGACAGGTTTCAAACCACAGAACCAAAAAATCATCTAGGTACCACTTTGTATTTTATATGTGGAAACTGAGGCACAGAGATGCCATCTCTTTCTCCTTGCCATCTCTTTCTCCTTGTTTACTAACTCTAGGCACGCTACACTTGATTATGCACTGAGACTACCAATGCACCAAGTCCCTGCCCTCACAGGTATCTAAGCAGGGCCTGGCAAGGCAGTGCAATTCAAGGGATTTAAAACAGATGGAGGCATATTGTGGGGGTATCCCAAAGACAGGCATCTGACCTTGTATGAAAAGATTTAGAAGACAAAAGTTTATTTCCTTTCTCCAGATTTTCCTCAAACTGCCCTACTGAGTAGAATATCTTCCCCTTCCGTTTGGCAGACTCATCCTTTTGACTTTTAGACTCACCCTTTAGTGCAGGTATCACTCCTGACACTTAATCCCTGATTCTCTTTAGCTGCCCTCCTCCTTTATACTCCCACAATACCTTGCTCAATCACAATCATTGTACTTAGCATGGTATACACCATTGTCCTTCCTCTGTCAAACTTCTCCATTAGATGCTAGATTCCTGGGGATAGGGAACTGAGTATCACTGGGTTTTATATGTCTAGTCTAGTTCAGTTGGTCCAGTACTGGATTTGAGGAGTGGTTAAAAAAGCATTTCAGTGGTCTTAAGGGTTAACAGGAGTTTGTCACACACAGAAGGAGAGAAAATAACTCCAGGCTAAGAAAGCAGCATGTGGAGACATATTTCTCTGAAGGGGTATGTATGCTTGAAGAGCTATGTGGAATTCTCATGGTGGCAGTTCAGGGTGGGGGTGGGCATGGGGAGGAGTGGTTGAGGTCGAGGCTCTGGGGTTATATTTGAGCCAGATGTGGACAACCACATAAGCCATGCTGAAGTGTACAGACTATTCAGTAGTAAGGCAGGGGAGTGGCATGATCAGATTCATTTTTAAAAGGATTATTCAAGTGGCTATACTAAGAAAGCACACTGCTGAGGGCAGACCAGAGGCAGGAAGGTGAGTTTGGAGCTCGCTTCATTCCAGCCAGGGCATGGGGAAGGTCTGTAATGAGTTTTGTGTCCTGAGGATTCTGTGAGGGCTTTGAGGATAGAAGCAAAGCATGGACTTAGATTTGAGGGCTTAGGTTGGACTAACAGGATCTGATGAGTAACCCAAGGCCAGCAGAGGGAGAAACAATATCAACGTTGATGCCAGGGTTTCTATCTTGGAACCCCATGACAAGTCAGACAATGTAAATAGAAACAGGAATCATGACTTGAGGAACAGGTTGAGGGAAAGATTATGAGGGCATTTGGGAAAGGCTTCTATGACAAGCTTTTCAGATGATTTCCGTAGGTGCAGAGCTACCTTGCTGTTGTTTTAAGCAAAAGAGATAGATGAAGTGCAAGAAAATCAGTATTAAAACTCAAAGAGTACAAGACCAAAAGTCTTCACAGAGACAGATGAAGCAATTCTGATCATTTGAGGGTGAAACAACTTTAGATTGTTTCAGATTCCAGTTCTTAAACTTCTAATTATTTCTCAACCAGTTTAGTTGGCAGCTGTATATAAAATATTCTTTAGGCAATAAAATTCCATGTTTTTCTTATTTTCTGGACCCAACTAAATCATTTCCATATATTTAAAAAAGTTATTAGACTGGCTAATGGCATCACACCACTCAGCAGTTCCCAGTTACCAGGGAGGATTCAGTTTACATTAATTAAGTGGCCCCATGCAGCCATTTTATTGTCCAGCAACCTCAAGTTATACTCATCTTTTCAAAACACTAGAAGTTCTAGATATTGCTGGCGGGTGGGGGGAACTCCACAGACACACACACAAAGAATTCACTTCTCCACCAAAATTGGTCCATCTTTTAATCTAGCAACATTCACTTTCTCCTCCATTTTATAACAAAAGCTCTGCAGGGTAAGCAACAAACAGAACCTCTTTAGAACCAATGACTCCACTTAAATAAACAGCAAAGAGACTTTCCTGGCCCCAGTGATTACCCAAAGTGCCCAGGGACTGTTCTTTATAGAAAAGAACTGAAACTGTCAGCTCACCCTCTTCCTTAAGTTGTAGGTGAGAATCAGGTTCCGGGAGAAAGAATGGGAGAAGGCCGTGTAGAATTCCAGCACTTTCTGCAAGGCGTCCCGTTTGATCACATGCAGGTCACAGTAGGTCAAGGCCCTAACGTTGGCACAGGATTGGGCAAGGGTGGCTTCCTTCCAAAACACATCTCCAAACACGTCTCCTTTCCCTAAGGAGAGAAGGGTCATAAGGAAAGTGTCAGCCAGTTGGAGTCTGGCCATTCAGCTGGCTTCCCTCTGTCCTCAGAACTGCCATCCATTTGGCATTCTGCAGGTTGGACTCAGAAAAGGCAAAAATGATTTTCATTTGAACCTTAACAACATGCAGTTTAAGAAATGTTAAAATATCAATGCATGTGAAACTTTACCTCATGGTTTTGGGATCATTAATGTCACCTTCTTGAAGGGTTATCCTCAACATCTTATCCAAAACTGGGCCCTCCTCATTATTCTTTATTATACCTTCTTTTTTCATAACATTAATCATAATTTATAATCATATTATTTGTTTGTTTACTGGTTTATTGTAGGCCTCCCAACTTGAGAACTCATGTCTGGTTTTTATTTTAATTTTAATTTTTAGAGATAGGGTCTCACTGTTGCCTAGGCTGGAGTATAGGGACACAATCATGACTCACTGTAGCCTGGAACTCCTGGGCTCAAGCAATCCTCCTACCTCAGTCTTCTGAGTAGTTAGGACTATAGAAGCCCACTACCATAGCTGGCTAAATTTTAAAATATATATTTTTTGTAGAGTCAAGGTCTCACTATGTTGCCCAGGCTGGTCTTGAACTACTGGCTTCAAGTGAACCTCCTGCCTTGGTCTCCCAAAGTGCTGGCATTACAGGCATGAACCACTGTGCCTGACTTTCATGTGTTTTATTTCTCCATAAAACACAGTATCCATCACATGGTAGAAGCTCAGTCAATATTTACAGGTGAAAGGGAAGTAAGGTAGGAAGGTAGACTGTGGGTTTATATTAGTGTGACTAAAAGGTGAATATTTAGGTTGCTGGAGGGAAGGTGTGGAGTCTTCATCTAGACGTTGAAGAGCAGGAAAGGATTCCTCCTGCTACATGGAAGTCAGGCTAGTGTGGCATTCTTCCCCTCCCATACTTTAACACTGCCTTAAGGTTTACATTTATATGATGCCTTTTCCTCATCTTCCCTCCCATACCTCCTTCCAGAGTATTTTCCTTACCTTTGCCGAATGCCCTCCTGTGGTATAAAAATGTAGACCCTATATAAATGGCATCTCCAAGATCCTCTATCACTAGCATTCTGCAAGAGCACATTTAATAAGTCAATAGAATAATGATATAAACTGAATGTTTGTATTTCCCCCCAAGTTCACATGTTGAACTCCTAACCCCCAATGCAATGATATCAGGAAATGAAGCCTTTGGGAGGTAATTAAGCCATGAGGGTAGAGCCCTCAGAAAGGGGAATAATGCTGCTATAAAAGGAACGCTAAAGAACTCTCTTGTGCTCTTTCCACCATATGAGGATACAATGACAAGTAAGCAGTCTGCAACCTGGAAGAGAGCCTTCGCCAGAACCCGACCATGCTGGCCCCTGATCTCAGGCTTCTAGCCTCTAGAACTGTAAGAAATAAATGGCTGTTGTTTATGAGTCACCCAGTCTATGGTACTGTTATAGCAGCCCAAACTAAGACAAGTACTAATCCTACAGGGCCATATTCTGGGTCAAACATCTATCAATCATCTGTAAACATCTGCTTTTCATACCTAGGAATATTCTTCTTACCTTTCCCAGCAAGCAGCATTTTAACATATGTCTAATGCAAAGCCTAATCCATTCCTGGAACAGCCTCTGGTTAGAAATAGCTTAAAATGTTGTTTATTGTGCCTCTAAATTTTCAGCACAGATAAACACACATTTGAATCTCCAGGGAGCCAGAGAGGAGTATGCAAGATGAAGGAAAAAAAAATGCTTCAAAGGGTGGAAAGTACTATCTTCAAGGGAGCTGTCAGCCTAAGCTCCAGACCAGCCAAGCTCCGCAGCTGGAATCTAAGTACCTGTAGCTCAGTATGATTAATAGGGCAGCTGTTTTCCTGATTAAGGTTAAGGAGGCAATTACGCTTTCAAGCATATGGACAGAACTTGACTTTTTCTTAAACACTAAAAAGTGTCCACTCTAAGTATATAAGCTATCCATGGGCACTGCCTTCTCTAAGCACCTCCGAAATGTGAGTTGAAAAATAAATGTGCTAGACACATGACTTCACAGTTCTCTATGTGTTTGTGGTTCTAATTCATGAAGATGGTTTTACTGATTTAATGTGAGTAGGATACATGCTTGGGGTTGTTTTTAAGTAAATATAGTTTTTAAAACTGTGCTATTTAGATTCCCTTACCAAGTTTTTTTCTCCCCGCAAACATCTGAGTAGGACAATTTAGGGCTGCAGTTAGTGGATGAGACCATTTCTCTCTGTGGTATGCTAACTGACTTCCATAGTAGGCACATTTATTGTGTACTCCCTAGTGCCAAATTCTTACCAACAAGGCTGGCCAATTCATTTGTATATATTAAGTATTCCATAACCTCCCTACGCTGCCCACAATGACTCATGTGCCCTTCATATTTACGTAATCTTATTCCTCTAGAGAATGCTCTTCCTCTGAAACATTATGATAGGTAGTAAAAAATGGACTTCATCCATTCTTTTCTCCAACATACATGCTGCAACTCACATCAAGAAGTGAGGCCTAATTACCTTTCCCTTGAATCTGGGTTGGACTTAGTCCATTGCTTTGATCAACAGAATGTGGCAGAAGTGATGTTATTGGATTTTGAGATAATGCCATAAGAAGCCTTGTAGTTTCTGCCTCAGTCTCTTAGAATACTCATTCTTGATTCTTATAACTCTCTCTCTTGAAACCTAGCCAACACGTGGAGCACAAGCCACACACAAGATCACGTGCAAGTACTCTGGTTCACAGCCCAGCTGGCTCTCAGCTGACAGTCTCAACTACCAGACATGTGAATGAGCCATTTGAGTCATCCAGCCCAGTTGAGCCTTCAGATGACTGCAGCCCCAGTCAATGCCTGACAGTAATTACATATGAGAAGTGCAGGTGAGAAACAACCAGCTGAGTTAAACAACCCACAGAATGGTGAGAGACAATAACATATGTTTAAGCCACTAAATGTAGGATTGGTTTGCTACACAGCAATAGATAACCAGAATACATAGAATCATGGAGTACAAGGCTGAGAAGCTCATGAGAATTTATCTGATAGGTTACCTAGTATTCCAGCAGAACATCACAAATCATCCAGCCCTAAGCTGGCATGACCACTTCCTTCCCCGATAGAATGAGACAAGAAAGCAAGGAGTAGCTCTGAAAGGGGCAGATTTTCCTGAGTAAGTACTTTTAATATCAGTGAAAAAATGTAGAATTTGCAAAACATGCAGTCTCCTATTAAAATGAGATGTGGTGTAACTAAACCAGAACTATTGAAACTAGAAGCCATTTGGTAATCTTGCTTGATTCTTATTTCGATTGCCTCACTGAAACAAGACCAAGTATAATGTGAGCATTATACGTCTCAAACAAAGTGGGATACATTTTTCTAATTATAAAAGAACTCAATAAGCAAAATGATAGCACTTCGTGTGCATTTAACATAGAATTTATCTGTAAAAATTTAGTTTATAAACAACTCTTCAGGGGCATAGCTATTGCATAAAACATAGGGCAACCATATTGTGGTTGGAGCACACCTTGAAATAAATAATTGCATCTTCAGAAATGACAATATTTCCACTGTAAAAAGTTTTCTAATCAAAGGTTTTGACAGACAGAAACAATAAATGGAGGGTAGTTCCTACTATAAAAAGTATTTCACGGTAAGATAATCATGATTAATCTATAGGGCCTAGGAGTCTCAGTGTTGTCATAACTTGGGTTTGATTTTCAACCCAAATTGAAAATCATATAATTTTACTTCCTGTCAAGGCAGCATTTTTGGTATAAGTTATCTGTTAGTGAGATTTAAGAATGTGGTGTTGGAGGACCTGTCAGATTCAAAACAAACCCAGGACTATTCTGGCAAATGAGAAATGTTTTTACGACACACATAACTTGGGAAAACTGTCAAAGGGAAGGATGCAGAGCATTTGGCAGGCAGCACATAAGTTACACACATCGCTGGAAATAATGACTTCCCAGGTCAGGGTTGCGAATCAGAAACCCGGACAAGCGCTACACCCACATTGGTCTCTCATTCGCCAGTGTGTGAAATGATCATTCACTTCAGAACAAAAGGTACCCCGATGCACTCAGCAATCAAGCTACTGGAGGCAATCAGCGAATTGATTTATTTATTACACTGAGGCTCTGGGTGCAGAATGTTAAAACCTTATGTTCCAAGTCTCTAAAATACTAACATTCTAAGTGGGTGTTCTGAGCTGAGGGAAAATAAAGGGAGGGGGGAAGTAAAGAAAGGCAATCTAATTAAAACTCCAGGCAAATATCCCAGTAAGAATTAATTCTCCTCCTTCTCCCCCTCCTGCCCCCAATCATACACAGCTGTCTCTAGTGAACCTTCACTTTTGCAGTGGACATAAACAGCCCTGTGGGAAACAAACATGGAACTGAAGAACATTCACCAAACAGGTGAGAGGCAGGACACAGGGCTGAGGCGGAACAGGGACAGGGAGGGGTGATCTCTGCAAGGGGCACAGCACAGGAGAAAACCAAGCCCCTGCAGGCAATTTGATTTAATGAAGGAGAAAGGCTGGAACAGCCACTTGAGGAGGCTGAAGGGGGATGGGTGGGAATGAGGGGATGGGATCAAAGGAGATTACCAGAGTGAATTAAAGACATACAAGGAAGTAATTCTGATCTGAATCCTACAACTAAGTCTGGGACCCTCCAGAGAAGGCCCAGTTTATTCAAAGACAGGCTCTGGGTGAGCTTGGCAGGCCTGGAGAAGCAAAGCAAAAATGAAATTTATGGCTGCTTCTTTTCATTACTCCCCATTATGTGCTCTTTTAAGGACCAGTCACAATGGTATACTGTACCAAGCAAAACGTAATTCTGAAGTTAAAAATCACTATCTGTTGCTAAGATCATTCACTATTTCTGGACCCAAACCAATTAAAAATAACTCATGCAGTCATTTATATAACTTTTGCCAGGC